CTGTATGCTCCTGGCTGTTCCTGTTTTCCTGTTCTAAAAATACCCATTTTTTGCCTCCTCTTTCTGTACTGTTCTTTGGACTCTTTTTTTTTTCTTTTTTTTTACTCTGTTCCTGTAAACGAATAAATGCACTTTTTCCCATGCACTTCTTACGAGAAGAGGGATACTTGAATTTATTAAATTATATGAAGAGCAGAAATAGGAAATTGGTGTCTTACTTTAACAGTGCTCTTTTCTGCATTCAAATGTGGAAAACTGTGTTAAATTCTTCTAAGATTCTTGGTTGCTAAACCAGTCATTTTAATTCCCTGTTTATAAGTAAGTCTTTTGTATGTAATATTCTCTGTTCTGAAGCGATCCTCTGTTACAGTAACTTCAGATCTCAGATTATTATGTGCTCCTCTGATCAAGCAAGTCACTGAGATGAAGCTGAGCGTAATCCTAAGAAGTGAAACTCTTCTACTTGTTCTGCGGGACCTGAAGCAGATAGTCTATAATCTGCACACAAAAAAGCTCTTGCATCCAGCGTGACAGGTGCTGCTTAAATTTTTGAGGTCATGAGCTCTGAAGATCAGTTGAACAAGATGAGTTGTTTTCTTGCATGTGAAACAGCAATATAAAATAACTACTCTCAATACTGGTACATGAAATGAGTGATAATCTGCATTTTCTCTATCTAAGGCTGCTGGACAATTCCTCCTTTGCCTTTGGAAAGATGGTGGCCTTTTCTGTATTGCCCAAACTGAAGTAATCCCGTAGATTTCAAAGGTGTTACGCTTGGTCATTCAGTAGGTAGATAAGACCTGCTTCTAACTTTCTTGCGAGTTCTTGTTTTTACTACCATTACTTCAGAGCAACACGGGGTGCTGTCTGTCTAAATTTGTCACTTGGACGCCCAGATCTCTTCTGTCAGTGGCCTTTTTTTGCCACGATGTGTTGGAGACAGTTTTGCCAAGAAGCATATGAATTCTACCATCACAGAATAGATTGCTGCAAAAGGGATTACTGCACTGAGTGTCACACATAAGGGAGGAGAAGAAAAATACGTCTTTATCCAAAGAGCAAGGATTATGAATGTGAAATTTCTTTGAGACTTTTTTCCCCCAAGGGTGTACAATCTTCAAAAGCCTTGTGTTGCTGCAAACTGAGGGTGTGTTTTTCAGCTTGCAGATTATTTAATGTTTTTACCAGAATTTGAGTTCATTTGGTTAAATTCAATGTATTTTGAGTAATTTTGTTTTTGAATTGAAAGTGAAACTGACTAGAAAGTGAAAACAGTTATTTTTCATTTTTGAGGCTTTTCTATAAATAGTGGAAGAGGAATGGATAAAAGATGAGTTGTTCTAAGAACAGGATTAATATTAAAGCTGTAATATGTACGCACAGGTTAAAGAACCCTGAGAGTGGTAGAAGTTATAGGGAGCTAGGGAATTATTTTCAGCCTACTGATGTTCCATAAAAGGTGCTAGGTAATCTAAGGTTATTGTGTTCATCATGATCAACATATCCCAAGAATTCACTAAATTAAACTGTTTTCAGGAACGAAATTAATATATATGTGCAGCAAGAGTTTTGTAAGTTTTATTGAACAGAGTTTATAATCAGTTTTACATGAAAAGAAAAAGCTTCTATTTTGTTTGAAAGTCAGCCTCATTTTGGCCTTTATTTGGTAGCAGTGCATTCTGTAGGATTCAGATTTCTTATTTTTGTGATCTGCCCTTACAGTAAACTCTTTTCCAACTTGTAGATATAAAATTTTTTTTTTCATTGTCCACATTTGTCTGGAAATCTAGTAACATTTGACTTTCAACTTGTTTCAAGATTGCTTTATATTATATATTTTCAAATCTTAATATGGCCAAATTTCTGTCCACAGATCTTAAAAATGTATATCTGAAAGCCTGTCTGTTCCCAGTATAGCTGAAATTACATGAAGAATAATTAGCATAACACTTTCAACTCAGCTAAATCATGTCTGGATCTTTAGACAGCTTTGTTCAGTTATGCTCATCTTGTTGCTGTGACTCAGTTGATGGCACACTCGCTTAAAAGCTGGCATTGGTCCGTTGGAACCTGTCTCTCAGATACTGATATGAAATCTTTCAGAAGTGATCAACGCAAGAATTGCTGTCTTAGAATCACGTACTAAACCTGACCATGTGGAAGTTAAACATTCTGTGGTATGATTTTTAGAGCTGTTCCTCTACCTTGATTTGTTGTTGTTTTCATCTGATCTTAAAGAATGGGGATGGCATGGAGTAGAGTACAACAATTCAAGATGACAGTGATAAATAGTGATTTTTTTTTTGAGGGTAACGCAGACTTTTTTTAAAAGACTCCACTCGAATACCTATTTAGGTGTAGGGCAGTTTACTGTCTAGCACACCAGCTGCCAATGTTATATTCTGTTTTCATCATACAGTTGTCTTGCTCTCCCCCTTCATGCTTTTTCATATGATTGTCTCTCTTTGTTTCTTTGTCTCATTTTCCCCCCCCCTCCTTCTTCCCTGTTTTTATTTTTCTCTTTGCTTCTTTCTTCTATGGGCGTTTGAAGCAGCACAGTGTGGTTACGTAAAACCTCCCTGTGTATGTGGGGTCAAAGCACCGTGTGTAATCACGTTCTCTGCAGCCCAGGTCCGTGCCAGGCTGGGATGTGATGGGTTTTGTTCTCTGCTAATCTCTCCAGAGCAGCAGACAATGAACTGCCAATTGAAAATTGTGACAGGAGGGTTAGTGAGCATCTGTTAAAAGGGAGAGGGAGTTTTTGAAGAGTGGAGAACTTTCCTGATTTAGTGAGAACTTGAATAGTGCAGGGCCTTGCACTAACAGCAGGACTCACCGAGCCTTTTCTGACCACATGGCTGAATCACTGTTGGGGTCAGCTTTGTAAAGCCCTCTGGAATATCTCATTTTATGAAGAACCTAGTAAGTTCAGTTTCAAACCATTCTGTGAGCGTGTGAATGAACTAGAAGGAAATTTATGTGTAAAAATGGAAGGAGAAAGGATTAATTTGTACAATTGTCATAAAGTACTTTAAAGATAACTGAGTGTATCTAAGATAAAACATGGTATCCAGGTGAATATTAGTGTTTCTCTCCTGTTTGAACTCAAGAGTCTTGGTTTTTGCAATGTATTTCTTAAATGCTTTCTATTCAGGTGTTCTTAGTGTGGTCAGTTTGTCCTGGATGTCTGACTTAGAATTTGCCTCATCTGCTCTCCCGATATTCTTGGTTTACTGTTGTCCTCTGAAGCTTTCTGCAGTGCTTTTCTGTCTTCTGCCTCAGATACTTTAAAACTTATTTTCATCCCCACGTTTCTCATCTCTTAACTAAATGTTACACAATTCAGTTTACATGAAGTGACTCCAATGTATGTGTATCTTAGAAGTATAGCTGAAATATGAGTTTAGATGTACTGATAGAATAGCAAACTGTGTAAAGCAGTTACTTTTCAAGGATGGAGTTGTGTGGGGTTTGTGTGCTTTACGTATCTCTCACAGATGCCATTATTTTTCTACATAAATGCATAATTTTGTAACACGCTGCTACTGAGAAATCCCAAGTGCTTTTCAACTTCAAACAGAAAAAAATCTTTGCGCTATTGGAACAGGGCTCTGGGTGGAGTAGGCGCTGGGATAGACACGCACATAACCTTGACCTTTTTTCTTCTGTTTCCAGTACAAGAGAAGTTGCCTTCTGCAGAACTGCTCTCTTCAAGGAAAAATCCTTGCTTTCATTTTGTCCTTTCCATTCCTTCCCAAATGTACCTGTTCTCTTAGAAGTTGATATCATTTGGAGCTGTGCAATTTGTGCCTGTTTCTTTTTCCAGTTATTTTGTGTTTTATGTGCATCTGGGTGGCAGTGCTGGAGAAGCAGAACTGCTCTGCAGAGATTTGGAAGGGCTTTACTGCATTAGGGACCCAAGAACAATGTATTCCTGGTAGAATGTTTTCAGATGTGTTGAATTGCTTTAAATTTTGTGTTTGTATCCCAAGGCTGAAAGAGTGGAGGATTCTCCAACCCCTGAGCCCTGGTGCACTATAAAATATGCTGTGGATATTGATACACTGTTTAGTTAAAACTTCAACTAAATGCAGTTGAGCCAAATGCTTAAATACTAGGTTGGTATTTTAGTGGGACACGGGGCAGATACCTGTCTCCTGTGAGTATTGTTTCAGGATCTTTAACTACCACATGTGGTCATGGTGTCAGACCTGAACCAAGGAAGCAGCAGTTTGCTGGTAAGAGGCATGGACACGGCTGCCGTGCAGGGCTGGCTGGGCGCACAGTGCCATCTCCTGACTCACCCAGTGTCTTTCTGCAGGGGTAGGGTTCTCCTTGGGTCTCCCATCCCAGTGCTAAGCCTGACCGTGTTTAGCTTGAGGTCTGCGAGTACAGGCTGATGTCACAGCTGCAGTGTGGCAGAGTAAAGAATCACTTCCTAAGTGCTGTTATCAGTATAACTGCAATTTGAGCAAGAGATCTTGTTTACTTCCTGCAAAATTTAAAACTTTATTTTTCTTGTTCACATCTGTCTTCACATCGTTAATTTGAATTTTACTGCGTAAAGATTGAATATTATGTTTGGTCTTGTTTACCAGATCTTACAACAGAAACTTTTTGCCCAGACTTCAGTTACTTTTAACTTCCTTTCGTCCTATTCTATGATGGTATAGGTTTCGTTTTCAAATATGTGTTATATGCCAAATTCATCTCGGATTCTATGGGCTTAATTTTTTTGTGGTCTTCTCATAGACACAATACAGTAATGTAGGGTATAAACAAAACCATTAACCAGAGATCAAGGCTTATATGCTAGTAAACTTTAGATGCTTTCAGACATCCCAAACTTCTGAAATTCACTTGTCTTCGGTATGAAAGTAGCTTTTTGTGGAAGAGGAGTATGTGTAGGAAACGCTACTGTATTTTTATCTAAAATAATATATGTAGGTTCTGGGTACCTCTTGAATCTGTTAAGCTGTGTAATAAAAGCCTTGTAAGATTGAGATCTTTAATGTTTTTTAGATCAACATGATGCATAAGTTTAAAACTGCATCTGTTTAAAGGGATTTATGACTAAAACTGCTTGTTTTTCTACAGAATTGTCTGGTGTTTCTCAGCTTGAAGAAGATCTGCAGTCATTATTGATCCTCTTTCTTGGCGTTACCGTTTTTTGAAGTGAAGTTTGCCTAGCTTTCTAGTGTGAGCTCTCTTTTCAGCCATCTTAAAAAAAAAAAAAAAAGAATTTTTTTTATCTATAAAGTAGACAAGCTATAGTTCTACAATGTCCAAGTCATTCCAGCAGTCATCTCTGAGTAGGGATTCACAAGGTCATGGGCGTGACCTCTCTGCAGGAATAGGCCTTCTTGCTGCTGCTACCCAGTCTTTAAATATGCCAGCATCTCTTGGAAGGATGAACCAGGGTACTGCACGCCTTGCTAGCTTAATGAATCTTGGAATGAGTTCTTCATTGAACCAACAAGGATCTCATAGTGCACTGTCTTCTGGTAGTACCTCTTCCCATAATTTGCAGTCTATATTTAACATTGGAAGTAGAGGTCCGCTCCCTTTGTCTTCTCAGCACCGTGGAGATGCAGACCAGGCCACTAACATTTTGGCCAGCTTTGGTCTGTCTGCTAGAGACTTAGATGAACTGAGTCGCTATCCCGAGGACAAGATTACTCCTGAAAACTTGCCTCAGATTCTTCTACAACTTAAAAGGAGGAGAGCTGAAGAAGGTTATGGTAGAGATGGCAGATCATCCACACGGGAACCACCGTACAGAGTACCTAGGGATGATTGGGAAGAAAAAAGGCATTTTAGAAGAGATAGCTTTGATGATCGTGGTCCTAGTCTCAACCCAGTGGTTGACTACGACCATGGAAGTCGTTCTCAAGAATCTGGTTATTATGACAGAATGGATTATGAAGATGACAGATTAAGAGATGGAGAAAGGTGTAGGGATGAATCTTTTTATGGTGAGACTTCGCATAACTATCATAAATTTGACAGTGAGTATGACAGAATGGGTCGTGGTCCTGGACCCGAGAGATCTCTCTTTGAGAAAAAGAGAGGTGCTCCTCCAAATAGCAATATTGAAGACTTCCATGGATTCTTACCGAAGGGTTATCCCCATCTGTGCTCTATATGTGATATGCCAGTTCATTCTAATAAGGTGAGTTACGCACCAGATACTTCTATTTTTCCTTTACGTTGTAGTATCTGTTCTGTTTTTACCTATTTCTTTAATTATTTCTATAGCCTGGTTGCTTTTGAAATGATCTGAAAGTTGGTTTGAGAGTAAAAAGGGCACTTGGTTTATTTACAAGGTGATTGTTAACAAAACATTGTAAACCAGGGCTTTACATTAATGTGTATTGTTTGCCCAGATTGCCTAACTTCAGGTCAAACAGCTATCATCCACTGGGATATCTTATTTATATTTTACATCTACATGTTCTCTTAACCACAAACATCTGGCATTCAAGCAGTTTTTGGGTGGGTTTTTTATTTTTTATTGGTTTGGGGGGGTTTTGCAGTGTGTCTACTGTGCTGTTCAGGAAGCTAGTTTCAGCTCTCCTCCACATCTGTCTTGATTGCTGATTTATGTGTAGTTAAGATGCATTCTTGCACAGCTCTGCTTTTTCCCTGTTCAAA